TGAAATGATACAACCCTGACACATTTTTCCTGATTTTAAATCACGCAGTATCCCCTTGTTCTGTTCAAATGACTGCCTCTTGGTCTATGTACAGGTTCTGTGTGAGCACAATTAAGTGCTCTGGAATTCCCATTCTTCACAGTGTTATTTATAATATGATATGATCCACACAGTCGAATGCCTTTACATAGTCAATAAAACACAGGTAAACATCTTTCTGGTATTCTCTGCTTTCAGCCAAGATCCATCTGACATCAGCAATGATATCCCTGGTTCCATGTCCTCTTCTGAATCCAGCTGGAATTTCTGGCAGTTCCCTGTCGATGTACTGCTGCAACTGTTTTTGAATTATCTTCAGCAAAACTTTACTTGTGTGTGATATTAATGATATTGTTCGATAATTTCCACATTCTGTTGGATCACCTTTCTTTGGCATAGGGCACAAATATGATCTATTCCAGTCAGTTGGCCAGGTAGCTGTCTTCCAAATTTCTTGACATAGGCAAGTAAGCACCTCCAGTGCTGCATCCATATGTTCAAACATCTCAATTGGCATTCCGTCAATTCCTGGAGCCTTGTTTTTCGAAATGTCTTCAGTGCAGCTTGGAATTCTTCCTTCAGTACCATAAGTTCTTGATCATATGCTACCTCCTGAAGTGGTTGAATGTCAACCAATTCTTCTTAGTACAGTGACTCTGTGTATTCCTTCCATCATCTTTTGATGCTTCCTGTGTCGTTCAGTATTTTGCCCATAGAATCCTTCCACACTGCAACTTGAAGTTTGAATTTTTTCATTTCTTTCAGCTTGAGAAATACCAAGCATGTTCTTTCCTTTTGGTTTTCTAACTACAGGTCTTTGCACATTTCGTTACAGTAGTCCCCCCTTTTTATCACAGTTCCGCTTTCCGCAGTTTCATTTACCCGCGGTCAATGGCCATCTGAAAATATTAAATGGAAAATTCCACAAATAATTCATAAGTTTTAAATTGCGCATCATTCTGAGTAGCGTGATGAATCTCGCACTGTACTGTTCCATCAAGTCCAAGAGGTGAATCATCCCTTAGTCCAGCATATCCACACTGTATATGTTACCTGCCCATCACTCATTTAGCAGCTCTCTCAGTTATCAGATCAACTGTCTCTGTATCTCAGTGCTTGTGTTCAAGTAAGTCTTATTTTACTTAGTAATTGTTCTATTTTATCATTAGTTATTGTTGTTAATCTCTTACTGTGTTTAATTTATAAATGAAACTTTATCATAGGTATGTATTTATAGGAAAAAACATAGTATATATAGGGTTCGGTTATTTCTGCAGATTCAGGTATCCACTGGGGGTCTTGGAACTTATCCTCCATGGATAAGGAGGTTAGAATATAGTACTTTGTCTTCTCAAGCTGCCCTTTAAAATCTTCTGTTCAGCTCTTTTATGTCATCATTTCTTCTGTTCACTTTAGCTACTCTTAAGTTCAAGAGCAAGTTTCAGAGTCTCTTCTGACGTCCATGTTTTATTTTTGTTTCTTTCCTGTCTTTTTAATAATCTTTTGCTTTCTTCATGTATGATGTCCTTGATGTCATCCCACAACTCATCTGGTCTTCTGTCATTAGTGTTCAATGTGTCAAATCTATTCTTGAGTTGATCTCCAAATTCAGGTGGGATATACTCAAGGTTGTACTTTGGTTCTCGTGGACTTGTTCTAATTTTCTTCAGCTTCAACTTCAACTTGCATATGAGTAATTGATGGTCTGTTCTGTAGTCAGCCCCTGGCCTTGTTCTGACTGAGGATATTGAGCTTCTCCATCATCTGTTTCCTCAGATGAAGTGGATTGGATTCCTGTGTATTCCATCCAGCAAGGTCCACATGAATAGTCGCCATTTATGTTGTTGAAAAAAGGTATTTGCAATGAGTAAGTCATTGGTCTTGCAAAATTCTATCATGAGATCTCTGGTGTCATTTCTATCCAAAAAACCAAAAACCAAACCCGTTGCTGACAAGTCTATTCTGACTCATAGTGACCCCACAGGACAGATTAGGACTGCCCCATAGGGTTTCCAAGGAGCAGCTGCTGGATTCAAACTGCTGACCTTTGATTAGCGGCCAAGTTCTTAACCACTGCGCCACCAGGTCCATCATTTCTATCACCAAGGCCATATTTTCCAACTACTGATCCTTCTTCTTTGTTTCCAACTTTTTCATTCCAATCAGCAGTAACTATCAATGCATCTTGACTCCAGGTTTGATCAATTTCAGACTGCAGAAGTTGGTAAAAATCTTCAGTCTCTTCATCTTTGGCATTAGTGGTTGGTGCATAAATTTGAATAACAATCATATTAACTGGTCTTCCTTGAAGGCATATGGGTATTATCCTATCACTGACAGCACTGTACTTCAGGATAGATCTTGAAATATTCTTTCTGACGATGAAAGCAACACCATTCTTCTTCAATTTGTCATTCCCGGAATAGTAGACCATATAATTGTCTGATTCAAAATGGCCAATATCAGTTCATTTCAGCTCACTAACATCTAGAATATCGATCTTTATGCATTCCATTTCATTTTTGACAACTTCCAATTTTCCTAGAGTCATACTTCATACATTCCATGTTCCGATTATTAATGAATGTTTGCAGCTCTTTCTTCTAATTTTGAGTTGTGCTACATTAGCAAATGAAGGTCCCAAAAGCTTTACTCCATCTGTGTCATTAAGGCTGACTCTACTTTGAGAAGGCAACTCTTTCCCAGTTGTATTTTGAATGCCTTCCAACCTGAGGGACTCATCTTCCAGCACTATATCAGACAACGTTCCACTGCTATTCATAATGTTTTCACTGGCCAATTTTTTAAGAAGTAGCTCGCCAGGTCCTTCTTCCTAGTCTTTCTTAGTCTGGAAGCTCCACTGAAACCTGTCTACCATAAGTGACCCTGCTGGCATTTGAAATATCGGTGGCATAGTTTCCAGCATCACAGCAACATGCAAGCCACTAGAATATGACAAACTGACAGATGAGTGGTGGTTTGTATCCATAGAGCCTGAGAAATTAAGGTTATTTTGAGTAGTTGGGTAATAGCAGACATGGCATGCATACAGTAACTTATTGAAAACATTCCAAAAGTTAGAATATTTAAGTAATAATCATTTGTAAAATTAAATGACCTGAAAGTATAAATACATGTAATTTAATATAGACTCTAGAAGGCTATTTGTAGTAATAAAGATCAGTGGTTGGAAAAGGCCTCTAGAGTTTTGCTACCTCTCTAGACTCCAGGGATTAGTTTCTCAGCTCAGCTGGTCTAATACTTTAAAGGTTATTATTGATATTTTTAAAATGTCTCATACATGAAAATACTATGGCTTGATAATAGAAAACACTATTATAAATTATTTTAATAAGATAGTATACATAAGTAATATTTGACAGCTTAGCTGTCAAGCTACGTGACCTTGGGCAAGTTACTTTAGTTCTCTGAGCTTCACTTTCCTCCTTATTATGAGGTTCAATTGAAATAATAATATAAAGCCCTTGGCACAGTGCCTGGCACATGGTCAGTGCTGAAAAAACGTTAATGTCTATAATTACTATTACTGTTGTTTTTAGTATTAAAGACCAAAATCAAACAGTCACTTAAAATTTACTGGGAGAAGCAGTTTATGCAGCCCAAACTACAAAGATTTATTTGCATCAAAAGTTTGTTAATTTACAGTGAGAAAATAACTACCAAGCTAATTGTAATTCATATACCCAGCTCAGCATTATCCCCTAGGAAGGAAGCATACTTAGGAAACCAAATTGAGATCAGCAGTCTGGTTGTTGAGTATATTGCATCTGAATCAGAAAGATGACTGCTTTCTCTCTGCCCTAATTCCCCTTCAACTTCAATCTTTCCTATCTTTGCTATAGCTTGAGATCCCTAAAACAATTATTTTATTCACTCTCTTGACCAAACCCTCTGACTTTCCATTGACTACAGAATAAAGTATAAATTCCTTAGCCTCTTTTAAGATCCATATTAATTTGTCCCCACAATTCCTATCCAATTTTATTTCCCAGTTCGGTCCAACATGAGCCCTGCACTCCAGTAAGGATGGGTTCTTCACTATTCTCTGAACATGCATGCTCATTTCTTATTCTGAACCAAGGCATATGCTAGGTTTTCCTCATGGTATGTTCTTTTCTCTCCTCTATCCAAATTCTTTTCATCACTTGAGGTGTACCTTAAGTCTTACTTCCTTCACGAAGTATATACAAACTATTCCAGTCCATGCTAAATCTCCCCTTCTCTAAATTCCTATTACTTGTATTGCCGTACTCACTTTTTTCACATATACGTAAATCATACACTGCTTCATGTATTGACTTAACTCCTACAAGTCTTATTTTTTTTACCAGATTATAAACGTCTACAAAATGAAGATCACGTCCTTTGCATTCTGAGAGAATAGCACAGTATATTACATGTATTTTTTTTCATATATATATATACACTGATTCTCAATGAATAAACAAATAATATATTGATGAATGTCAACGGGACAAGTTAAATTTGCCTGGCCAAACCCAGCAAGATTGCTTGGCCCCGGCATGCTCTGACAGGTTCCCAGCATCCAAGTTTCTCCTAGAGCATTCCCCTTCAGTTCTTCTAATTATATCAAGGTGTGCATCAGAAGTTTCCTAATTGCTTCAGGAAGTCAATATCCAATAAAGAATCATTCTCTTTAAAAATCTTTTGGTTTCTGGTTTCCTTCACTCTAGAAGATCTAAATATATAAACATGAAATAAGCATCCAGTAAGTCATTTTGTAGGAATCTGCTCTAATTTTCTGAACATCCTCAGTCCATTAGGCAGTTGAATGTAGACATACTCTCTCAGAATATTATGTTCCAGTTAACTGATAAAACTGCTGTTTTAAAAACACACACACACACAAAGATTAAAGTCACGATTCTGAACTAACTCATTAAATGGTCATTGATTTTCTTTTAATTCTGAACAAATACCTTGTGTAATCTGATGGAGCGAGAGAGCTGAGCAGTGGCCATTACAGGAATGTATCAGGATAGTTTTAACAATTCTAACCTGTAAAAAATATATAATTAATTAGAGACCTTGGCTAACAAGTATTTCCTATCACATTCTGCCCAAAGATTGAACTAAAAAACTTCTAAAAACAAACAAACAAAAAACTAACATCAAGGACAGTTAAGTATAAATTGTTTCCCAGATTGTGCAGTTTAGAGAAAAATTTACCAAGCTCAATTTTAAAAAAGCAAAGGAAGACGATTACTAAAATAGTTCTTTTAAGCCCTAGGCAATCTATAAAATGAATCCTTATGGTAAATTTTCCAAAAGAGAACTATACAATTAGAATTTGACTGTATTCTTTGGAAAATTAATTAAACAAACATTGTTATCTCCACTACCAATTTCCTGTAAATTTGGTATAGATCTCTGGATTAATTTTTCCATCCAACCAATGAAAATTATAAGATGATTTACTTGTTTGCAAATACGTTTGAAGGAGAGAAGTAAATTCTAAACAATTTAAAGACTCAACACTATGTCTTACTCCTCCTTGTTATTCTCTCAGAGAGTAATGGTGCTCTGCAGACAGCAGGGACTCAAAAGTATTCCTTGAATTAACTTCCTGTATAATTTATTTGCAAATTCAACTCAAAACCTAATGCTTAAAATACATCTAGTTTTCACTCTATTGCTTCACTAAAGCAGCAAATTTTCCTTTTTTCTTTTGAAAGGACTTAATTTCAATTAGAGTTTTTTTTTCTCAAGGTTTATAGAGTTCTAACCGAAATATTGTCAAATAACCCATTTAAGGAAATTCCATTCTGGATCACTCAGGATAGTTTATGACCTAATTTTTGTGTATTAATTAATGCAAGATTCGGGAAGATTTTGCAAATAACAGGGCAGAATTATCTGAGGACACTGCCACAAGGTGGTGATAGAGATTATCCCATAAACCTACTGCCATCAAGTAGATTCCGACTGACAGCAACCCTATTTAAAAAAAAAAAAAAAATCCGTTACCATTGAGTCAATTCCATCTCATAGTGACCCTATAGGACAGAGCAGAACTGCCCCATAGGGTTTCCAAGGAGTGGCTGGTGGATTGCCGATCTTTCGTGAGCCGCCAAACGCTTAACCACTTCACCACCACGGGATTGTAAATAGGTAATATTTTATTTCTCTCAAAATAATTCCTCAGATAAACACTGGGGGGCACTCTTTTACAATATTTATGTGAGACAAACCCACCTAACAGTCCTTTGGTCCTTAAGGAGTACAAGGTATCTTTTGTTGACTTCAGAGTATAATCTTCACTTCTGAGTATAACCTTCAAACCTAACTCAACACATCAAATTGTCTCCCTGGCAATTTTAAGAAATAAAATGGGGAAAGGGAGTAGCTTCAAGAATTTTAACTCTAGTCCCAGCCCACTGAATCACGGTAAACTACCTGCTACTGAGGTAGTTATTAGTCTTACAGACAATAAATAAGAGGAAAAATGATTTTTAAATAGCTGTCTATATTGGTGCTTTCTTCATTTCTCTATCATCATAAGACATTCTGATGGCATTTCTAGAGAATCAAGTCCTGAAAATAACACCAGCCAATCAGAACACAATGCATTACTGTTGTTGTTAGGTGTCGACGTCAAGTCGGTTCCGACTCATAGTGACCCTATGTATGACAGAACGAAACCCTGCCCGGTCCTGCGATCCTCACAATTGCTGTTATGCCTGAGCCCACTGTTGCAGCCACTGTGTCAATCCATCTCGTTGAGGGTCTTCCTCTTTTTCACTGATTTTTAACCACTGCACCACCAAGGCTCCTGATGCATTACTACATCCATATTAGTTTTTATGGATGGCCTGGAATAAATTGATATTATCACTGAAAACTGAGACATCCCAGGCTCTTGACTCTGAAAAAGGATTAAAGCTAGTAGTCACTATTAATATTTGGAAAATACCTTAGGAATTAATATTTAAAAAATAAGCAAAATTAAATTTTATGCACACACACACATATATATATATATATAAACAACTGGCAGTATAAAATAGTAGAAAGAGGCTTTGGAGTTAATTAACCTGGGTTCAAATTCTGACTCAACTGCCTAGCAGCTTTGGAACCCTGGCCAAATCACCTAATCTCTCTGGGCCTCAGTTTGTTTTTTGTAAAGTGGAGATGATAAATCCAACTTTTCAGGGCTCTTGTTCTTATCTGGGCACGTGTTTATCTCAGAGAGCTAGCATAGCATAGTGATTAAGCACACAGACTCTTCTGGAGCCAAACTGTCTAGGAACAAATTCCAGTCTGCAATTCACTGTCCATATGACCTTAGGCATATTAATTAATTGCTGTGTGTGCCTCAGTTTTCTCATCTGTAAAATGGGCATAGTAATAGTACCTGTCATATAGGGTTGTTGTGAGGACTGAGTCACTGTATAGTACTTGGACACTATATGACACAAAGTTCATTTTATGTAACAAGGCATGTTTGTTTAAAAAATCTTACTATACATTAGTGTTGAAATGGCTGGTTTTCCTTTTCAGCGTCCTCTTCAGAATTTTTTTTCCTGCCCATCTCTTAGCTTTTGTTGTCCCTCAGGGTTCTCTCTTATGAACTCTTCTTTTTTTTACTTCTAAACACACTCCCTGGATGAACAAATAAGCTCCTGTTGTTTCAATTACTATCTCTATTCTAATGATTCTTATATATATATATTCCCAGTCCAGGTCTCTCTCCAGAGTTGCAGACCTGTACAGCTGTCTAACATTTAGTTTCACTTTGATGTTCCCAACATATCCAAATGTGAATTCTTTCCTCCCAAAACCTGTTTCTATTCCTTAACTCATTGAATGACATCACATATTTAGTTGCTCAAAGTCTAAAACTTCTGATTCAACCCTGACTCCTCCCTCATTCCCACATCCAGTGATCTTAATGCTTCTCAAATCTGCCCACTCCTCACTTTATCCATGTTGTTCTCGTCCCTGCTTTAGATCAGGCCAGCCGCATTTTCTGCCTAGACTGCCTGGACTGGTTACCAGTCTGCCTGTCTCTGGTCTTGCCCTTCTCCATTCTGTTCTTTGTACTGCAGCCAGTTTTCTTTTTAACTTAAAAACTTGACTATGTAACTTCCCAGGCTGAAATATTTCAATGGCTCCCCACTGCCCTCAGTATAAAATCCAAACTCCTTGCCATGTCTTCAAGATCTGCCTCATGCCTTGCTAGCCTCATCTCTAACCATTTTTCCCTTACACTTTTATGTGTCAGCCATTCCTATCTAGTTTAATCACCCTAAAGAACTATACTCTCTAGCCTTCAGGATCTTGCAATACTCCTCTGCCTGAAACATTCTCCCTGTTCCCATTTCCTATTCATCTCCTAGACATGGCTTTGTATAATTTTCTCAAGGAATTATTTTCTGACTCCTCCCACCAAGTCTGGGTTATGTGCCCATTGCAATATATACTGTCTCATGGTTGCCCTTATGTATCCTCCCACCCTACTGTGAGCTAACATGAAAGCAATGTTGTGTCTGTCTAGCTCATTCTTTTTTGGTTTATTTTTAATTTTTTAAAAGTATACAATTCCGTGGGTTTTAGTATATTCGTAAAGTTGTGCAATCATTACCACTATCTAATTCTAGAATATCTTTATCACCTCAAAAAAGAAATCCCATGCCCATTAGCAGTCACTCCGTATTCCCCTCTCCTCTCATTCCCTGGCAACTACTAATCTGCTTTCTGTCTCTATAGATTTTCCTATTCTAGACATTTCATAGAAGTGAAGACATACAATAGTACCTGTATTTTGTGTCTGATTTAGCTCATTCTTGAACCCTCAGTACCAACACAGTACTGGAACAAAATAAGCGCTCAATAAATATTTGCTGAGTCAGTGGAGAAGCAACACAGGAACAAGGAAAAATTAAGGGTCTAGAAAAGAATCACAGAATTTTAGAAGCAGGAGGAACTTTAAATGTCATCCAGTTCAAGTATCTAATTTTCTAGATGAGGAAATCAAGGTCCAGAGAAATCAACTGACTTATCCAGGGTCAGTCAGTCACTCAGTGGCAGAACTGAGACTAAAACTTAAGAATTTTTGATGCACAATTTAGGGTTTTTTACCACGACTCGCCAAAATGAAATTCTCCTTTGCTTTTATTCTAATATGATACACTACCAGTGCCTACCTAGTTGCTGGGCTTGCTTGCTTATTTCTAAACATGGTAGGGTCCTTATCTGGTGTTCTAGAACAAACTTGCTTCAGGAAGGAGAAAAGATCTAAATAATTTTTTTTTTTTTTTAACAGCCAGGCTCCTTTCAACCTCTAACTATCCTGTTGCTACTGTTGTGTTTTCCCTTTGAGCAGGTGTTGTGCAGGTCTCCTATTCAAGCACAAACTCTGCTTAATTTTGAAAGCTCACAAGCTGACAGCCCCAGGAGGTATGACTCTACAGATCATGCAATCTCAGAGAATAGCTCTGATGTTTATCACCTTGTTTTCTGACTGATTATCTAAAGACCTAGGACAGATTTCATAACTGCAGACTTTAAGAACAGAATTCTAACTTCCAAATGTCTTTCATTTATATATTTACTTGCATATTGGATCGATAAACATGTGAAACTTCACAGGGCACTGAGACTATTCAGTCTTATGTTTGATGTGTTCACTCCATGACAATGATTATGATCTTGTTGAGAAAAGGTAAGATTTCTGCATTCTTTCTGATAAAGTCTCGCCCTGAGCTTACCTCTTGACCTATGTCTCAAGTGCCTATTTAGAATGGTGGCACAATTACTATTTTACCCCCTTCGTGTGTAAATCTGGTAAAGATTAATCAGCTGTTGTTTAATTTATTAATGCCTAAACCACTTTTTTTGTTGTTGTTGCCATTCTGAGTAAAGCCAAAACCAAAGTTCTTATTATAGATGATTTCCTAACACTTTCCACCCATCTTTCCCAGTCTTCCAAAACATTTTTTTTTAACAAGAAAATTTCATTTCTATCAAGTGAACAATATCCAGTAGCTGGATTCTGAATGCAAGTAGATGGTCTTCCTTACACACACATGATATAAAGAATACCTTTACTCAAAGGGAGTGCACATCAACATAAAAGGGCTCAAAAGATTCACGAAGAAGCTAGGGAACAGAACATGTACTAATACTATAGTAC